TATAATATTATCATCCATGTATTTCAGTGTTGCTTTATATAAGCTAGAAAAGTACACATACTGCGACAATTCGTCGAAAAAAACATGTTAGAAATTAATCAGAATCAACTCAATAGGAATAATTAGTGCAGAGAAAAATACATTTAAATTATAGTTTGTTCCAAAAAAAAGATCTTTCGTTTCTTTTTTTTTTGTAAACAGTAATAATAGAGGGGCTGGATTACCCTACTAGCTAAATAACTTATCGCCAAGCGAAGACTTTGTTATTTAAACGTGTACACTTCGATTTGTGTATGCAGCAATTTTGGGCTTGCACAGTATGCTTTCACAGGACCAATACCATGCGTCGATCGAAAACAAGGGGCAAGCGGCGGGCGCAACCTTTGAATCCCTCGTCAAAGCTTCAATGCCCAAACCCGTACCGTTGCTACCTGAAAATGCGACAGATACATCGAAAACAGCCCAGAAGGTAACATTTTCCATTTAAAAATAGTGACCGGTAAAAATAAAAAAAAAGTGGGTTCCGTTTTCGATGTGTTGCAATGCTTTAAGATGCAAGTTTTCTATACAGGTTCTGTCAGCTGGCTTTCAGGTAATGCCCTTTAAGGAAAGTAATGAATAGTCCACAATTATTTTGATTTTATTACTGCACAGTTGTTGTCGCGAAAGAAATTATACTCTGGGGTTGGGATCTGTGTTACTTTTCAAATGAGACCCATAATCGAAATAAGTGTTTATTGCCACCACCTCGTGTTTTAGTCATAAACAATTTAGGGGTTTATGAAAGGAAAGCGCTCTCTTCCCATTGTAGGCATTTTGTATAGAGCAAGCATTATTGTTGCGTACGGATTCGGAAGTTGGTATTTTACAATAATAGGAAGCAATGTTCAAGGACATCCCATATTTGCGTTCAATGCAATGCTATTATATTGTTTGTTGCTATTATATCGATATGTTATTATATAATGTCCATTATGTAATAACATATCGGATTTGCAGTTAGATTTTGTCAGAATGATTAGCGACTGAGTGTTTAACTGGAGTTACGGTAAGATACAACCTACGCATGTGTTTTTAAGTAGGTTTACAATGACGACGATGACATCGTCGAATTAAATTGGAATAACATACGAACAGTCAAGCGCGAGGACTTCAGGGTGCTCTTCGATGGCCTCAAAAGAAATACCAATCTAAGGAGTCTCTCGTTGGCCAATGTCAACCTGACAGATTCGACAGCTGAACTTCTTGTCGAGGCTTTGAAAGAGAACAAAAGTTTGCGCATCCTTAACGTCGAGTCGAACTATATCTCCGGCAACATGCTTAAGGTTTGTAAATCTAGAACAGCACCAAAACTCTGGATGATGTCTTACTTGAGGTAAAATGCTGGTATAAAGAAGGAGTTGTCTTAGATAATGGCAAAGAATATGGCAATAATTAAACCTTTCGTGTCATTTGTAGCATATTAAGTAGCATTTTGGGAAATTTTTATCGTATGTATACGATTAGGTAAAACTACTGGAAAAAGTTTCTCACAGCTTCGATTTTTGCATATACAGAGTTAGGAAAAGATATTTTCGAAGAATGAAGTTGCCGAAGTCAAAGGACATAATTTTTCCACCAGAACGATTAATAGAATCAGCGAAGTCCCGGCTATCCGGCTATCAGAGCTTAATGCGAAACATCTATAAGTTTTTCAATTGAAGCTATGAACCGAACTATACACCATATATGTATACTTTTCTACTCCTAAGCGGCATTTTTCCTAAATATCTTTACCCGATGTGAGTCTTTTCGCGTGTAGGATTAAAGTGTATGCAAGGCGAATTTGGCACACAAGTACAACAGAATGATGCCGAAGCGTCACGTCAGTTTATCTGTGTGCTTAACGCCTTTTTATAATGGCTGTAACATTGTTTTTCCAACATCCTTAGCGTGAGGTGGCAGCTTCCACAGAGCGTAATGCAAGGGGATGTATATTATATATTGTCGCTAAGTATCTGGGGAGATCTCAACGCACTCTGTCTTTCATCTATCGAACTCATTCGTTTACATCTGCCAGGCAGCATTTCGAACACGTAAAATATATCTAGTTATTACAACTTGGCATGCTAAGCTTCTTATACTTTCCTATGAGCGCGACTAAAGGTGATGTCACAAAACGATCGTACATTATACACCATGGTACTTTCCGGGCATTTTCCAGTTATTTACATAACTATGCTATTTAGAGATTGAACCTGTGGGCAGCGAGAAGCATGATATAGATCACAACGTTGCCTACATTTAGTAAACATCTGTAATCCGCATACGCGATGGTGAAGACCTGTACTGTATTGTGCGTCACTATTTGCCTGTTGGACCAATCAAGTCCGTCATAGTACTCCCCTTTAGTACAACTCTGGATCGAACTTTCGACTCCATTTTACTTAGCTTTATTGGAGTGCTGGAGCCGCCGACAACTTGAAGCGATGACGGAGGTTCTCAGAGATTAGGAGCGTCGCCACCTGAGGATAGGCAAATTTGGTACGGGTTCTCTGGTGTAGTTCCAGAGCTTTTGTGGGGTGCCAGACCTCTACTCGGCTCTGATGCCTGATATCCTTTACTATGAGGTTGTCGTAGGTTAAGATAGGCTAAGTACCGAGGATGTAGCTGCCAAGGACTTTCTGCATCTTCTTCTAATACGGTGAGAGAAATGTGAGCCTTTTTATACGAGATCAGCAACCCTAAATACGCGAATCGATTAACATATGTCAATGGTTGGTCAGGGAGATTTAGCACGTCACAACTTGTAAACTTGCTGCCTCTTTTTAAGTTCATTACTTCCGTTTTAGTCAAGTTGTTGAAACATAAAAGCGACTGCTTTCGTAAATAATAATTCGTTTGCGTAGAGGAGAACCTTCACTGTATTTTGGAGCCCACCTATCTTGTCGGGAAGATCCTTAAATAAGAGGACAAGGGCTCTAGTTATCAATCAGGAAAAATGCTCGCAGTTCCGATACCTCATCATCGATTGTAACCCTGTTTTCTTGAAGTATCGCTGCTATTAAGTTAACATGCTCGCGAAAACGCCGACGTCGATGACCAAAGCTGACTTACTCGAAGTGAGATCGAAGGTAGCTTTGAAGCCTACAAACATTACACAGTTATATTGCCTAGGGCTGCTTAAAATTCGTTCGACGTGGTTGGTGATCACTGATGAGATGGTATACGAGGAGAGCCCATCCGAGTCAAGCCACTTTTATAGATGATGCTCGACTTCTTGTAAGAGAATAGCCTTACACTCTGTCAGCATTGGACTTGTTAAAGGTATTTGCTTATAAATGTTTGTACCGGACTTCACAATAATTATACTTAATAAATCATATAGCTAGCTTACGTATGTGTAACTGCGCCTTCATGGATATCTATTTATCAGGCTGGAAAAAAATTCTCGCGAACTTCTTTTTAACCGAATAGAAAACACCACATTTTATATTCCCGCAACATTAGTTTATATATTAGCTATACCCCGTCATTGTTCACTGTTTTCTACTATTTTTCAACCAGATGATACACGCTATCTCGTCGGAAGATAGCGAGTTTCGTTTCAACAAAATTTTCCCATTACGTTTTTAGTCCTTGGTGCATAACTCAAAATTCTCGTGTCGTAAATGATTGTCCAGTGAACGGAAATCCGTCGGCAAAAGGTCCGGAAATACGAAGAATACAACAAAACCTCCTATTTGAGGTCTAGGAGGGCAATTTTAACGATTACTGTATGTGGTTCCTTATTGTCGATTATTTGACCTCGTTTTTCGTATTTTTTCCCTTTAGCGGCTTGGTCGGTGTAACTGGACTACCAATCGCTGGTTTATGATGACGTATAGACACCACTTATTACCGATGACAATTCTGTGCAAAATCGGTCATTGTGACCGCGTAATGCTTGATACTTGGCGAGACGCGGTGTTAAGCCGTAATTCCTTGTTGAATTTGTGAGGCAACCGAGTTTCAAATTTTTATCTAACCAAGGCACTTGAAATCGTTAACGCCGGTCACGCGGCTGCGGCCCACCTTATCGACTAATTCCCCATTTGTTCGTCGGCCGCCTTCCTTTAAAGGCACCGTTAGATGGTCGTCATCAAACTCAAGCTGTTGGCGAGACCGGGACGTCCTTTTAGTCCTGGATACTGTCTTTAAACTTTGCAGAATACTATTGAGCAGCCCTTAAAGAGGTAGCGTCGTACCGTACCCAAGGCAAATGTCCCAGGTGGTTGCGGCAGCATTTTGAGTTTGACAAAATGAATAAAATAGGAGGCGTCAAAAACGCCCGCATTTTCTATCTGGAACACCCATTTTTAGGAAGTTATTTCCAATTAAAAACGCATTCACAATACAGTACCGTTGCAGCATGCTAATAGAGCAGGAAAACGCTTAGTGCGTAAATGGTATACCAAAAATAAACAACAGTCGGAAAGGGTGGTAGTCAAAGGTTTATAGTAATGGTAAAAATCGCCAGGCTTATTGTAAATACTCTTATA